TTTGTCGGGCGTAAAGAGGAAACGAGTTGGAAAAAATACTCATTGGAGTAGCAGTTTCTTTAGAATCGCGGAGAAATACGAAATTACAAAGAATTAAAGTTGCTTAATGACGCGACAAACGTACAGCAGGGGATTATCAATTCCATTACAGAATAAATCAATTCAATGCTCAACGTATTACGAATCGTGCGATAGGTACTCGGTTTAATTTTGTCCTTCGATCTTTCTTTGTGTCCCGAATGGAGTAGACAGGTTGCAGTCTAAGTGGATAACTCGATCTTCTAAAGATTGTCCGGAAATATATATTGCCGATGCTTACCGAATTAACTTCGCCGACTTAACGAAATAATCTGGTTACCGAGTTATTCGCAGTTATACAGATTGGCGATCAAAATCGAAAATTAATCCACTTAGATTTGATAGCCGAGCGATATCTGCATTAATTTCATTTACGGTTAAGCATGAAATTATCGTTGAAACGTTATAGCGTGGTTTTATTTTGAACCGGTCGTGGCTTTTCAACTTTATACAGAGACAATGAATAAGTCATCGACTTTGTTCAATAAGTTTCTTCTCGGTAATTAAATATTTCTCTGACTTTTGCATGCTTTTATCGTGATAGATAGTCAATCCTTTAATGCATTTGATATATTCATTGAATATATTCATACTACTATCTCTATAACGATAATATGAATAAATGGAATATCTAGAATTAATTATTTGTTACCTTACATATTCGTGTAGCGAATATATAAAATGCAAGACGAATTTTCAATATTATTCTTCTATATATTATGTTACGTATAAACTAGTGTATTTAAGGGTTGAATATCTTTAAACAAAAATTCTTTGGTACGGCGATATGAAAATATAACCGATACTATTGGAAATTCATTTAGAACTCGACGTCAATCTCGTACAGACATCGATTGATATTTGGTTCAGAATTTCAATAGACAACCATCAAGATACACAAGGCATCGCGAAGTCGTGCACGTGTCTTCCTTTCTTTCATCGATTGACATGAAGTTCTGCATATTTTAATTAAGTGTCGTCATACTTTGGTGGAGGTAGATTTTGAGGTGGGTCCCTTCCTTTGCCCGCGGGTTCTTCGTCAGCCTCCTCCGCTGGCAATATTGATATTTCCAGTTCAACTTTACCCTGAATCGATACATTACGTCGTGTGCCCACTTCAGTGTTTCATGAGTATTTCTGACAAAAAATAAAAAATAAAAAAAAAAAGAAATAAACGAAGACGAGGGGTCGAGGTAAATGGGTATATTCGCGATGTACTCGTTATCGAAGCAACACATTTTCAGCGAGTAACTCTAAAAGGGATCGAAAGCTTTCATTTTAATGAAAACTTTCGAACCGACTTGATACATCGCGAGCATCGGGCGTTACGATTTTGATAAAATCTACGAGAGATAAATATTCGTCTTGTGCAATGTTAATAAATGTTGGGAGTTTCGCGATACACACCGCCTGGACGTATCGACCTGCGTTCACGCTACACTCGAATGGCCACCACGCTTTAATTCGTGCCATTTTGAACATGTTGATCGTCGGCAGAGTCGGATCTAGTAACGATAAAGTGCAAGTTTTGGAATTCGGACTTCCCCGTGGCATTTTGGCTAGATCCAACGTCACCGCTCCTAGAAGTAAACAGAAATATTCATTTCGATGGTATTGGAACTTTTAGCATCCTCGTGCGTATGGACACGTGCCAACAGTGCTGGAAATTCGTCTGCAAAAAAAAAGAAATTAATGGATAAGCGCGACGATTAATTTAAAAATTCGTTTTACCGAGAAAATCGTCCGGAGAAAAATGATCGCTGTCCCAAACTTGCAAATGTAATCTGCATGGCAGTTTGTCTTCCGTTTCGCTTCGCGCAAAGAAGGATGTCTTTCTGCGCACAATCATAACACGCTCACCCTTGCAGTACATGACGCGAAATATAAATCGCCAATTAAAATTTCCCTCTCCGTTCAGAGAATTATAGTGGACGTCGGTTTTTTGATAGTCGTCGTAAAGTATCCAGCTGAAGAATCGGTTATAGCGATTTATGCAAAGATTGAAAAATTAATACGAAATTTCTGAACTCTTGCATATTTCGGTACTGAAGCATTTTAATTCGAAATAGAATTACAATCTACCTCCTACTTCTTCGTGACATTATCAATTCTTTCCATCTTTCAATTCGATCGAAATAGGTTTTCAAATAGTTCAATTTCATCCGTTTTTCTAGCAAATTTTTAGAAGAATTACTGTTATAAATGTTTACTTAGCCTTACCCTTTTACATAAATATCTGAACACTTTTCTCCGGTAAGGAATTGACTGTCGACGAGAGGCACGTCCTCGGTGTTCCAAACGATCACGCGAATTTCATACTTCTCTGGTACAGGCGGACTGATGTCCACTGCTGGTTTCGGAGGACGTTCGCCGAATTGAAACATGTCGATCCAAAGTTCTAATTTACCCTGCAGCATCGTGCGAGAATACAGATCGTGCTTTTAGAAAGGCCAATGAATATTTAGACAGTCGAAAAAGTGTGTAATTCCCCGGAAAGTTGCGTCCCGAAACTCTATACCGTCTTTCCGGCAGTTTTTGATCGATTCTTTCACTGTGTAGCTCCAACCATTTCTATCAAATATTGTACTATATAGTGCTATACTATTTGTGTCTGTTACTATAAATTTCGCGTTACTTGTTGTAGAAAGTTGAAAGTAAGCGAGTCAGGATCGAACGAAAATAATAGTATCCACTTGAATCTGTTTTTGCTTTAACTGTTTAAATTGTACTAATATAGTATGTAATAAATCAACGTTTTATGTTTGTTTCTTAGAGAGGACTCGTGCGTCTTCGAAAATTTAGATAAACTGGCATTTTCTTTCTCCGCGACTCAATGTTCGTCGCAGTTTTAACGTAGATAAACCCACGGACTCGTCTCTTTTTACAACCTGCTCTAATCCGGGTCTGGCGATGTTAAAAAGCGGTCGTCTCTCGACGTGTTCAGGCACCAGGACGCAGCCGCAAACGGGGAAATCTTGCCATCGGTGAAGCACGCTCAATGCCATACACTCTTCCCTGTCTGAATAGAAATCATTAATCTCTCGATGAAACGGAATTCATTTCGACGAAAAAACATCTCCGACTGGATTAAACGATTAATTCTTGAAACTGACCGTCTTCCGTCTGCTGGTCGACGAAAGGGAATCTTTTTCGTCCAATTTTCACGTAATGATCCTGGTACTCCGGCAACGGAAGATTATTCCTTTTGCAAAGTTGCTCGAGTATCTGCTTCGGTCTCTCGCGGTCCCTCCACGTATTGTATCCCTCCTTGTTGTACTCCTTGGAAATGCCGCAAGTGGCACGATGCCTGCTGTAGAATCGATTTTCCAAATCAATCTTCGTCTCTCCTATCAAATCATCGGCCGTAGTTGCGTCGTAGTCCCACACTTGCACGATCATCATGTAATCTTGAGGGAAAGTGGCTTCTATCTCGAAGAGCCTGTAAATTATTCCACGTCAATCTCTTAACACGTTCTCTGAACTACCGGGTGTCTTGAACCTAAAATTGTGTCTCTATAATCACAGCTCTCTTACGTAATGATTTTTCAATACGTAATATTAGTGGACTAGAAATTAGACTTCAGTACTTTATTATATACATATATTTGTATATTAATGAATTAGAAATTGTATTTAGCACTTTACTCAATACTTCATTCAATAATAAATTGAAACGGATGTAATGGATCCTCTTTCTTTTATAAATCTACGATTCTACGCTAGACAGAGTAACCAATTTGTATCTTTCAAAATTCACTCGTGAAGCTATTAATAGCCAGTAATACCAGTTAGAAGACACTTTGAAAAGGTGTTCTCTCACGAGCAAAAAATGAAAAAGAGCTCCTGCAATATTAATCGTGTGATAGACTTAATAGCCTTTCTCTGTAAACCGGCAAAAATGAATGGTTTTTAAGTGAGCGCTACCAAAAGAATGCAATTTCCCGCGGCAAGTGGATGAAAGAATTATAATGTAACGTGGAAAATGCAACCGTCGGCAAAGTGTCAACTAATGTGCCATCGTACCGTCCGAAAGTAGGATTTAGCTGGTTCGGTATGTAATTCTTCTGGTCGTTGATGTACGTTTTCCCAAGTTTAACGTACAAATACGGGTCAGATTTCCCGGTGAGGGGATCGCTGGGCTGCAGGTTGACACCTACGGATGAAATCAATTCGTTTCTCACGTACAAACGCCGTGACGTGTCAAACATTTCGCAAACCTTTCACGACGTAAAGTCTGACCAGAAGCTTGATTGGCTCCGTATGCGGATAATCGTCGCACAGGCCATTAGCCGCGTTTCTGCCGCTTCTCGTTTTGCAGGGCAAGTTACTCGGATGTGGCCAGTGATACACGCAGATGCGTCCCTGTCGGTAAATTATCTTTCGTTAATAAATTATATTTTATAAATAAATATTTAATTAATCAATGTTAGATAACAGTAAGAAATTCGTTTGTATTTGTTCAAAAAGTCGGCAATGGTCTTTTGCACATAATCAACCATGTGTGTAAGTTCGTCTATCATTTCACACAAGATCGTCACTCGTATATCATTTTATAATAAAAAGAGTTCCTATATAACAGGTTTGGTTATCCTGCGCGTGGTTTAAGATCGAATTTTAAGACATTGAACCGTAGGTGGTTCGAATAATTCTCTTATTATATAAGGATCGAAGAGATGTTTTAACCGCTAGGTTCGAGGCAAACCTTGAACTTTCCAACGTAATTGTCGATATAGTGGTCGGGATCCTCGCTCTTCCGTCCCTTCCATAGCTCGAACGTTCTCAGACGATCCTGAAAGCCGGCGAATTGCGGTTGCATCTCCAGCTCTCCGTCGTATACCTGTTTCCCGTCCAATAAGACAGCTGAGCTGGTGAAAATGCGCTAAAGCGTAGGGTACCTTGAACGTAGCCACAAGCTTCTGATCACCTGGAGAAGAGGTGCCTAGCTCTCTGCTTCTTTCCTCCTGGAAACGACGCCACATTTTACTTATCAAAGATTCACGGTGATTTACATATATTGGATTAGTCGCGTGACCGACTTTTTCCCTCGTGTACGCTCACCTCCAAGGAAGCGAAATATTTACTCCACCAGTCGAGGTACTCGTCCTTCTCCAACTTGTACTCCGTTTTCTTCGTCCTCTTCCTTCTTCCTGGTATCAGACGCGCGAGAAACTTTCTTACAGACCGCAAGATCTTTCCAATCCATGTTTCTTCTTTGATCATCTTTTTGTACGGGATTAATTTCTCGTCTTCTTTCGCTGGATCGTAATCGATCGGCAAGGGCGCTTGACGATGAAATTGATTTTTATCTTTTACTTTTTACTTATGAACTTTTGTTTGTATTGTCTATTGACTTGCTAAACCTTGTAATTTGTAAAATTTCACAAACAATATGATTAAGCAGTGCGACAGTATCGTGCAAATAGATTCCGGCGTGTCACTCGTTTTATTTGCCATAATATAAATAAAAGAGAATTAACGAGAATCCTCTCGTGTCCAGTAAATGAATAACGAATCGGCGAGATTGAACTATCGTATAGCAAGCAAATTCGTTAAATAAATAATAACCTGACGCGAGTTAATCTCGACTTCGAAGCGGATAATGCCCGCGGTCATGCTCCTCGAATGGTAAAAAACACTTGCCCGTAACGTATAAACATTCCACGGAACTTTAATTAACAAAGTTTTCTGTTACGCGCCGTGTGGAACGAGATTTTCCGCGGCATTATTAACTTTCGTTGAAACCGAGCGCGTTCAAATATTTAATAACTACTTGAAATATCTCCGGAATGGTCGCGTACTTCCGGTGTGAACCGCGGCTGATAGTACACGGCCACGTGGATCAACGTCGTAATTGGCAGTTGAACGTCGCTCCGGATCGACATTTTTACGTTTCAGCGAACGCCACTTTCAATTTTCGGTATTTTCGCATTTTTTACATTTCGCGAGAGGTAACTTACAAATGGTCACAGGTTGTCTTTTAGTCCACGCAGGCTTCAAAATCGAGTATTTAGTTTCGTGTATCTGTGCATCGTAATCCTCTTCCGTTATTAATTGTTCCAGAAAGATGTAAACGCTCGGTATTATGCAAATCCCGACGTATTTAAAGCAGCCGAATCCTCGCGAGTCGTATGCTTTTATTGTGATGCAGGGGTAATAGATAACGATTTCTGGCATGTCCTTCGAGAATTTTCATATATCAACGCGCTTATAATAGTACACTACTGTTCAAAGTATCTGGACACTTGCTCGCATTGAATGGCACACAATTTAGAACAGAAACTTGTTTAACGAATTGGACGACTCAAAATAATTTTATCCTTCATTGAAACTGTATCGTGAAATGAAATTTATTTTTTAAAAGCTAATATGCAGTAAAGAAATTTATGTCGAGCTATAAATAAGATACAGCGTGTTTCTCTAAATTAAGAGGTTATTCCATTGCATGATTAATCTCTTACAGTTACATTTATTATTATTACGTTAATATGTCGAGTGTCCATATACTTATTAGCCGTGATATGTATATTTATCGACCGAAATAATTATCTTCTAGCATTAAGGAGTAATACTTGCACGATAATAGCGAAAAGTGTTTGAAACGTTACCAATTCGATGATGACATGAGGCTCCTTGTAGTTGCAGAATTTCTTGGCATTCTCCATTATTTCTGACTTGACTTGAACGGCAGCACATTCTATAATAATCCGAGGATTTAACACTGGCATGTAATTAATCTTCTTCATGTCTCGTACGCCCCAAAATATAACTTCAAGCCTGTAGCTTGTCATTTTCGGTCTGATGTCATCTGGTATATTAAAAATAACGTCCTGCATTGAAGGATCCATGACCTTGTCTACGGACGTGTCGTCCATTGTCTGAAATGATTTTATTTCACATTTAACATTTCGCAAGGCACACGTACGAAGTGATAGATTTAGAATAAAATAACTAGAAAGGAAAAAGCAATGAAATACACTCACATTTATATCGAAATGATACTTTAACATCAACTTCCATTTCGAATGAATATAATACAAACATAAAATGTTTTAAGCAATGGTTCATAACAAATTATCTTATATTTTATATATATTAAAACTGTTTGTTTTATAAATATTTATAAATATTTATTTTATTGTTAAATATACATTATATTATATGTGTACACAAATAATGTGATCTCTGGCGGGTTATGGTAAAATGAAAATATCAATTGCTATCATTATACACTTGTAAATTATTTACACAGAGATTCGTACCAGTTTATCTTGAACGGTTAATGAATAATGAAATTTTCCAAATTTCATTAAAAGACCATCGATCATCGAGTTTCATTTACACTCACGCGACCATCGTTATTTCTGTAACTTAACCTTTGTATTTTGATTTATGCTCGCGTTTATGAATAGATTGATAAGGCACACGTGGGAGGAGGATATTAATCTCGAAATCAATCGGCGCAAAAGATGACAGAAAGGTTCATTAGCGCGGAGGCAGAAAAGAGTCTCTCTCTCTCTCTGGCGAATCGAATATCGATTAGTATTGCTCCTCTTACCTCTATGAGCTCGAAGGCAGCGAGCACCGAACCGCTGCAATCCCTTTGCGATTTAAATTTGTACCACTCAAGTTTCGGAGGGAAATCAGGCGGCGAGTAAGTTTCCTCCGCGAGCTTAACTAATGGGATAGCTGTGCATCTCCCGCAGAATTCCTTGAAACCCTGTGAATTTCGATTCGTCATGATTTCAGCCAATCATTTACAGTTCCTGGTAACTTGTATGTAAATTATTTCCTCGTCGAAAATTGCTTGTAAATTCAAAGTTCGAACATTTTTCTCGGTCTTCGATCGAAATGGGAATTTGTATCAAAGAACGATATGAATTTAAAATATGAAATTATCCAGAGATTGCTTACATTAGTGACTATAAAAGAAGCTGTAGGTTTCACGTTCACAATTACTCGATTTTTAATTGCTTTTTATTTATTTACTCAAATTATTGGAAAGTATAGTTTGTCTCGTCTGTCTGCATTTGAGCAGCGTTTTGTTTTTCTTCCTACGATATTCATCGTACGAGCTTCATCATTCGGAAATTCAGTACACAATTCTACGGGATATTTCTAAAAATAAGAAATCGACTCACTAGTAAATCCAGATCGTACACTTGCAGAGTGATTTTCGGCGGGTTTGATTTAATATATTCTTTCGTTCCATGAACGGTCCTCGGCGGCAATATTAAAGTTTGATCCCAGAACGGATCGAGAGTCTGCTTAATAACCTGAAAAATTCAGAACATTTCCAATTTATTTCTGAATCAAATTCGCCTCGGAGAGAGCGTGGAATTTCTGGTGGAAGGAAAACCGAAGGTTTGGAACTTGAAAATATTGACGGTTGAAATGCTCGGGATGCAGAATCGAAAGACACTCGAGTCGCACGCGTGAAACAGATTGCCATCGGAAATTCCATGGAAATCCACTTAATAACGATATTCTAACGAGGAGTGGGACCGAGGAAATCTCCGTGGTAATAATAACGGCGATGAGTTCACGCGCAACCATCAGAAAGTGTGGGTGAATTATCGACATATGAAACTTACTCTGGTGGAGGCCGTGTAACCGTGAAACGCGACACGCACGATCGGATCCAATAAACCGGATGCATCCATGCCGGGATCAAAGCGACCTTGGAATATGTGGGCTCGTAACTGAAACGCCTGCAACGCGACCAATGATAAACTCACTTTGTCACTTCGTTCGAAGTATGTATGTGTATTCCTAACGACGTTACGCCGGTGTGCTTCTGAAGTGGTCGAAGCTTTTAAAACGGATCAAAGTCAAATTTTTCGATCACGGTTAAAACGTTCTGAATGATGCACGATAATAGTGATAGCCATTAGAATTCTACTGAATTCTTTGACGAGGCTTTCTTTTTTTCTTTCAGACAAGAAACCACTCTTTTTAAGCAAAGAGAAAGGGAAAGGAATGAGGACGAATTATCATCCTTGTAGTATTTATGTAGCGATTGTTTTAAAACATTCGAAGATTAAGCCATTTGTCAAAGTATGTTACAAAGCACTGTTTTCACAGGACAAACGCAAAGTTCGCGATGCCAGGAGATAACAATCAAGCGTGTATTTAATTTAAAGCGTGATAAAAAGAAAAAGGTGTGCGCGCTCTGGGACTGCATTACGGGAAATGTTGAAATTACTGTCATCAAGGACGCGTCTCGTTCCGATTGTCTAAATTTCTCTAATGTAATGAACGCGTCGCGGAATTTCATTTCATCGTATCAACGTCAGCAGCTCTGCTGGCGCGAATAATTCCGAGAAAAAGAGAAGGAAAGGAAAGAAAAGAAGAAAGAAGAAAAGAAAAGAATAGGAAGTTTCAACTTTCCAAAGAGGAGAGTAAACAAACCTTCGTTGATTCTGGGAATTACGATCGCGCGTCGTCAGGTACGTACGATGAGGTAATTAAAAAAGAAGGTATCCTTGACGAAGGAAAATATAGCCTCGTTTCTGGTTGGCGTTCGCTGAATGCCGGGGATTAAGATAATTAAAGCTCGGCCTACGAAACAGCGGGACGCGCCGAAACTTGACCTTGCTCCGAAATTTTCACCGGCCGAGAAACTGTCATACCGTGAAGCGGCTGTACTCCAAATATTTGGGGAACGAATCGATGTTCCGTTCGTGGTCCACCGTATAGCCAGGTGGTATCGAAGCCCAACAGGCTCCCACGTACTTGGCGTTGCCCAGCCAGAGAAAGACTTCAAGTTTACAGGCCATGTAGTCGGCGCCTTCTTCATCTCGCGGATGCACCAAGGGAACGTCGATCTTTTGACCGCACAGCGGCCCCCTTTCGGTTACCTCCTCCGAGTAAATGATCCTTTCCGCTGGAAATCGCGCGTACGCTACTCGCTTCGAGCCGGCTATTATCCAAATGAAAACGTCCGGGAGACCGTGCTGGGGCTGGTAAATTCGCAAGGAGTCTTGTGTTGCTCACGGTGAAATGAATTTTCCATGGAGGTATGCGAAACGAGAGGGACGCTCGCGTTTAAATATTTCACGACGATTTGCGATGCCTGCGAGTCTCTTCTCAGCGGAGAAGGTCAGCGCGTCGTTGTCTCGCATTCTCCATGGAAAATTCTATTGCATTGGCAAAGAGATTGGCAGAGGCAAGGCGAAAAAGAACTAGTTTCAAAGCAACTTCTTTCCCCCTTGTTGTTTTTTCCCCGAAAATCGGCCTCTTTTGTTTTCGTGAATCGGACAAAGGGAAAAAGTCAGAGTGAAATTTGTGCTCCTTGGAGTATTTCAAACTTCTCTTTTTTGTTCACTGACGATGGAAATCTAGATTGAGTGCATGCCTGGTGGAAACTTTTAAGTAGACCAGGAAGCTTTTAAGCCGAACGAGGAAATTTATGTAATTCGTAGAAGAATACCAATATTATATAAACTTGGTCTTTTACTTTTAAATTCTTACGTTGATAACCAGAATATTCAGATCTACTTATATATATAACTCAGCTTTTCAGATACTGAGTGCCTTCTTTCTGCAGATTAGGCGTTAAGCGATAGTTTCGTTTCCAACGAAACATTCGTAACTACTAAGAGCTGTGCCAAATGATTCTTTGAAATTACAATGTGGGCTCTTTGATTTTCCATCAAATGACCGCTTTTAGCTTAACTTATTGACTTATTACTTTTTGGAAACATTTGCTCAAAAAAATATTTAAATTCTATGACATTTTCGCAAAAGTGTGGTGAAAAGAAAAAAAAAATA